GCGCGGGTGCGATGTGGGCGCCGTGCGGTTGTGCCCGCCAGGCACGTCGTCTGTGTCGGGCACGTGCCTGATGGCGGGGGGGGGATAGGGATGGGGGCATGAAATCGGCCACGCCGCCCCCTCTGGCCGTACCCACCGCCCTAAAACAGAGTCGCTCGGCGCGTGGCCGACAGCACGGCCGCCCTGACCCGGCACGTGCTGCCTGGCCTGCAGGAGGGCCGGAGGCACGGCCGGAACCGTCTGCACATAGCCGGCCCGTGGCGGAACTCTGGCCTTGCTCCACTGGGCGCCGTGTCATGCAGCCGACGGGTTTGCCTTTGCCGACATGCTCAGCGGTGCGTTATACATGACGCCGTGTTTTCACCTGCGCAGAGCATCACATATCCAGCAGGTTTCACATCCGCGGATCGTCGCAGACTCCGTGTGGTTTAGATTTGAACGCAGCGTGGAAGCCATTCATGGGAGCTTGTAAAAAAGCGACTTTGAACAAGACAGAACCGCCCAACTCACGGTGACGTATGCGAGCTGTGAACACTACATCTTAATTAGGAACGTCCCTGTTCCGAATGACTGGCTAGCTCCCGTCTGTTCATGACCCATCATGCCCCCCCCCCTCCCCGTCAACGCTTAGGACTGCGCTCGTCACAGCCTGGCGAGGACGCCCAACCACGAAGCGCGAGGCAGCCTCACCGGGTAAACTCCGGCCGCCGTCTCTCCGCACGCCCGTCCGGAGCCGGTCCAGGCTAATCGTGCCGCCCCAGGGCACGGGATACCCCGGGGCACGGGCAGTGGGAGCAGTGACCGCCCCGCAACACAAGAGCGCATCTCTCTGCAGGCGGCAGACTGGCCGGCCGCGGCGCCGGAGCGGGCGCCGAGGCCAGCCCGGCCCGCGGCTGGGAGCGGGACGGCGCCGGCTCGGCGCGGATGAGCGGCCGGCGCCCCGCAGCTGGGGCGGGGGCACGCCGGCCGGCCCCGACCCACCACACCGGCACGCGCTGCCTGACGCAACTGATCCGCCTATCGAAACGCAGCGCCGTTGCAGATACGGCCGGTGAACGGGAGATACCCCGTGGCCGGCGTGGCAAGAGCCGCGGTGAAGTAAGTGGGATCGGAAGGCCGAGGTCGAACCCAGATGACTTGACCGCAGCTCTAACAGAACTAAGTGGAGAGGGCCGACGGACGAAGGAAGCCAGCTGCGTTTGGCGGGGCACGGCTGGTGTCTGGGAGGGTTAGTGCGGAGCTCATGCGGAGGGCGGCTGCACGTTACGGCCCACGCAGGATCACGCAAGCCCACCGCGCTACCCAACAGGAGAGACAATCGGCGGGTGGGTACTAACCGCCCTCAGCGCTCACGAGTGGGACCCTCCCCTCGGCGAGACTCCGTTGGCTGAGAGGAGGTCGTAGGTCAATGTCTGCACGAAAGCATCACGTCATCTCCAGCGTGCCAGCGCAGCTCGCACACACCACACAGGCAGCTCTCGAAACAAGCGTGCGACACTGGGACCGCAGGTCGTGAGGAGGCGCCGGCGCCGCGACTTTCACGGCGCGGCCGGAGAATGCGCGTCCTTCGCCCTGAGGTCGCCTATGGCAGCGGGAGCGGTGGCGGCAGGATTTCCAAACGGAAGGCCTATCTCGACCGGAACCGGACAGCGCCGAGCCGAACTGGGTTTTGTGTCGCTTCACCGCTGCTCGGTGCGCTGTGCCGGCGCCGGCCTGCAATGTGGTGCGTCCGGCGGGCCGCACCGGCATCGGCCTGCGATGTGGTGCGTTCAGCGAGCCGCACCGGCATCGGCCTGCGATGTGGTGCGTCCGGCGGGCCGCACCGGCATCGGCCTGCGATGTGGTGCGTTCGGCGGGCTGCGCCGGCACCGGCCTGTGATGTGGGGCATTCGGCGAGCTGCGCCGGCACCGGCCTGTAATATGGTGCGCTCGGTGGGCTGTGCCGGCGCCGGCCTGCGATGTGGTGCGCTCGGCGGGCTGCGCCGGCGCCAGCCTGCGATGTACCGCGCTCGGCGGGCTGCGCCGGCGCCGGCCCGTGATGTACCGCTGCTCGGCGGGCTGCGCCGGCGCCGGCCTGCGATATGGTGTGTTCCGCGGGCCGCGCCGGCACCGGCCTGTGATGTAGTGCGCGCTGGTGACCGAGATCGGTCGGCAGCAGCTGACCGCTGCCAGACGCCAGACGGCCGCCCGGCGCCAGCCGCGCGCAGCACGCGCCGCCGCGTCATCGGACGTCCACCACAAGCGGACCGAGAGCGCGCTTAGAAAGCTGACGAGGAGACTTCCCTGAATGGAATGGCGATAGCACATCTAACGCGCTGCTCGGTCGGCGCTCTCGACGCGCGGCGAGGTCTTTAGCCGGCGTCGTGTACAGGCCACACAGCCAGTTGTCTCCGTACAACGAAACGTCTTGAGGCGAACGGGCCTTTTCGAAACGCATGCTTCTCTTCTGTGATTTCTCTCTTCCCGCCGTGTCAGAGCAGCTTACGTTACACGGAAGACGAGTTTGCGCAAATCCAGCTGGTTTTCCCGCTGTGCATGCAAACAAGTTGAGTGCCTTCATCTGCGTGCAGACTCGGACTAGTCATGCATATTCATCAGCGATTTTATCCTCGGGTTTAACTCGAATGTCCTTGTCAGCCCGCTAACAGTGCGCTCTTTCCCGCTACGTGTCGCCTTTCGACCGGCCGTACATGGTTAAAGGACCGTTAGGGTATCAGACGAAGTACAGCGCAGACACGATATTTGACTCGTGGCCGGCTCATTATGGGGTCGAGAATACACTTTCGGCAGCCTTCTTGCACGCTAAAAGTTGTCCCAAATGGGTTTGAGGTAAGCGTGCAGAGCATGCTCCGTGCTTTCTGAATCAATCTGATATATTTACTTTGGCGGAGTCTATTAATCGTTATGTCATAATATTTCTGCAATATTTTTTTAGTTAAGCATGGACCCAGAAGAGGTCAAATGTCAATCCGTAGTAGTTTGCATTGTTGCTGTGTTTTAGTCCTTGGTGTATCGACCCAGAACAGAGCACAGGACAACCATATTTCGTGTGTATGGGATTTCCTCTCGCTGAAGCTAATTTAAAAACCGGAATTTTACACCTCTATTCCAGAAACTGAGAAGTGTGGTTGTAGCTATGAAGCCGCCTAGAATTTGCTTATACTGATCACAACCCTCTGTAATCGAAATTTCCTGTCCGTTGTAGGAAAAATAAAATAAGATAATATCTGTTATGGGTGTCATCACTATGAGGTCTCACCAACGAGAACCAAACACATCCTTGAATCCCGTCAGCGGCCCGTCCCTCGTCGACGGCGCGCAGCCTGTTTACTGTAAGTTCTCGTAAACGCGTTTAAATGGGATGACAGCCGTTGGAGGTCGATGCCATGCCGCAGCACAATTCCATGAACACGCCGTAACGGATGCATCCAAAGTGGCACGACTTCGCCGCAGCAAGTCGTTTCCAGGGCCAGCCATTTTGGAGCCCGCCTAATTTTTCCCATCGAAATTAGACGGGCTGAAACCCATTCCACGAGTAAATCCAACGAAGGCGATTTTGCATCGATCGTGTCCTGCAGTCTGTGTGCGTCAAGCCCTGACCAGACTGGCGGTGAGGCTCCTACGGCACCCTGCACTTCTTCGCCCTTTTTCGCCTCGCCCCGGCCTCGCACCGGTCGGACCGGTTTGAGGGCGCTCGGTTCCGGCCGGCAGGCGCGTCCTGCCGCGCCAGACCCCGCCGCCGCCGCCGCCGCCCCCGGCGCCGCCCCGCCCACGTGGGTACGGGCGTCGCGCGGCCTTGTGCCCCGATCCCCTCGGCCCGCGCTGCCCGAGGTGGCCCACTCGCCGGCGGCCGACTTTCGCCCGGCGCGCGCCGCCGGCCAGCTGGCGCGGCGCGGCGCGGCCGGTGGCGCGGGCCACACGTGCGGCGGCCGGCCGCGCCGTCGCGGGACGCCCGAGCGACCGCCGCCGGCCTTGCAAGGCTGACGTCGCCGCCCCCCCCCCCCCCTTCCCCGGCCGCGAGCAGTGCGGCCCGCAGCGGCACCGGACCGACTGACGACTGACAGTGACCATGGTTCAAGGAGAGGGGCAGGGGACGGGGGAGGAGCTGAAATGGCTCCGGTGACGCCACCGCCGCGCGCAGCGGCAGCTCATCGGCGCCCAATGTCACGCCGCGCGGGGGCGCCGTACGAACAGGGCACGCCGACCGCTGGAGCGTGCCCGCCGAGCGGCACACAGCGTCACAGCCTCGTCACTGCACAATGCCGCGGCGCGGTGTCTTGCACCGGATGTCCGTCGGCACCGGCTGGAATGCGGCGCGGGGTGCTACTGCGCACGTCCGGCTTCGGTGTCGGCTGTGACCGGTCGCACGTCGTCCGAGAGCTCGCCGCGCGCCCGCCGGCGCCCGTGCTGTCGCAGGGAACTGGCTGGCGCCGGTACCGCAAAACGCGACCGATCGCTTATAGTTGAGAGCGCTTGCGCAACGCTGCTGCCGTCAAATGGCTGACGCATCGGTCAAGGGAGACGCGTTTTAGGAAAATTTTTCACTGCCTGAACGCGTCACAAAATCGTGCTGAGATGCAAATGAGTAATATTGGGTATTACGGTGCGTAACATTAGCATTAATCCCCCTGCGTGAAACAAAACCTTAGCTCCGCTCTATCACAAAACTACCCTTTTGGAGACCAAGGATAGTTATTGTTTTCATAGCAGCTTGACTGAGCCCTCGCCAAACTCTTGCAAACACGATCCGAGCTTCTCTGGAAGCACTGCGCAAGCCAAATAACGAAAATGTCCCGCAGCTGCCAATAGCCATCATCCCCAACGTCTGATAAAGACATCCTCGCAGAGGCAAGCCACGTCATGCTCTGCGTCTGCGTCTCTCGCTCTGCGCCATGGCAGTGTTGTATGAGCGCAGATATCACGACAGACACCGCCCGCGGCGCGCAGGTGCCGCCGACACTGTCTGAGGACTCGTGCGTGTCCCCGCTCGCGCCGCTTACCTGGCTGGTGTTATCCGACTCGCCCGTCTCCAGATCCCGCCCGGCTGGCTGGCTCTTCACATGCCGCACCGTCGCCAGGCTGCCCTTGACCACCACGCCGCGCTTCTTGTAGTACTCGGCCGTCTTGGCGTCCACCACCAGCAGGCCCACGCGGTCCGGGTCGGCCTTGATCCGCTCCACCACTTGCTTGTGGTTCTCGTTGCTCGTGTTGACCCCGTTGACCTCGATGATCTGGTCGCCCTCCAGAAGGCCGCACGCCTCGGCCGGGGACGCGGGGTCGATTTTGCCGATGAACTGGCCCTCCTTGCCCTTCTCAGAGTGCAGGTTGAAGCCGTAGCCCTGGAAGTGCGGCCACTTGACCAGTTGGCAGAGGCGCGGAGACGGCGCATCCTCCGGCAGGCTGTCCTTGCGTCCCATGCTGCGACGGCGGTGCGGGCCGGGCTGCTGCTCGGGCGGTCAGTGCTCGCGCGTGGGCCTCCCTGTCGCCGCTCAGCTGGTGCGGTACTGCGACGCCACCGGCCGGGCGCCCGTCTCTCCATCCCGCCCCCGGCCGCCGATGGTGGCGCCATCCCGTGAGCCGGAATGCAACTATGCGCGTCCGCGCGGCTCGCCCCGCACAGGACACGGCGAGTGTTGCTACAGTTGATACAGGGTTGGCACGGGGCGAGGTGCGCGCCAGAATAGCCGCCTGAAAGTCTCAAACTCAACTGCGCGCACCTTTTATGATTAGCTGATAAGTATCACACGCCGTAGTGCAGGCAGAGGGGGGAGCACGTAGCCATCCTTAGGTTCCGAGGGGCCCGAAGGCCCCTCAGGTCCTACGACTAAGTGCCCAACTTGAGGCCCCGAGGGGCCCGAATGGCTGGCCAGGGGTCATATTCAGGGGCCTGGCCCGCAGGTCCGGCAATGCAATGCCAGCCAGAGGGACCTGTGCGCTGATCAGAGGCCCCTGAGTCGATAAGGGCCTGTATGTCGGTCAGACACCACCCGTAATGCACAGTCGGCTCCGTGGCGGTATGAACCAGAGCCTCATTTCTCAAGCAGGAACAAAGCCGGAGCCAGCGATTTCCATTGGTCTGGGTTCCACAGCACCTAACGGTGGCCCTGTTCTGGCAAGGGTCCCCAAGTTAGCCAAAGACAGTGCTCGAGAAGGCTCGAAGAGCCTCAGAGGCCCCGGCCAGCGGGGAAGGGCCCTCAAATGACAGTCAGAGGGCTCTTTGCGCCCATCAGGAACACCCTGAGTCGATTAAGGTGCATATGTTGACCAGGCATCACCAGCACCGCACAGTCCGCTCTGTATCGGTATGGACTCGAAGGCCCACTTCTCAATCAGCTACAAAGCCGGGACCAGTGAATATACTGGTCAGGGCCTTTGTATCTGTTGGGGGCCCACAAAGCCTAGCAGAGGGTCCTGTGCTCGTAAGAGGGCCCCGAAGATCAAGGCCAGTGCTCGATGAGGCCCGAAGAGATGCCCGGGCGGCCTAACAGATCCGGCCATCAAAAGCCAGGTTGGACGGCATAAGGGCCCAAAGGACTAGGTCTAGGTCACATAAGGGATTGCGGCCCGTAGAATCGTGACCTGAAACATCAGTCAGAGGTCCTCTTGCACCTTTTGAGGACCACCTGGCACAATGCGGGTGTCTAAATCGGCCGGAGACCAATAACACCGAACAATTGGCTCCTTGCTAGTCAGAACCCTGGGGAGCCCATTTCCCAAGCAGGAGCAAGACCGGGGGCCACGATTTGCCTTGCTGCGGGTCACTGAAACATGTGGCTGGGGTCCCTGTGTCGGTTAGGGACCCACGGTGCACAACAGGGAGTCATGTCTCGCCCAGTGGTCCCTGTTTGGTCACGGGCTCTATTTGGGGAGGTGGAGAAGGGCTTGAAGGGTCGCTTAAGATTGAAGCTCAAGGGTCCAATTGGATTCGGACCGGGCCCCCCACCCGTAGTGCCGGGACCCGGAATGCCATTTAGAGGGCTTCTATTAGGGCCCTCTTATTAGGGCTCCTTATCCCAATTATATAGGGCCTCGACACCGAGCCAAGGAGTCGCCTCCATATCTGTTTGGGCCCCTGAGACCCATTCCCAATGTTGGGGGTTCCTAACACAATGGGTGCTCCTATGTCGGTCAGGGGCCACAGTGCCTAACAGGGGTCATATGGCGGTAAGTAGCCCGAGTCCGCCAAGAGTGGTGTTTTAGGTGTCCCGAAGAGAGGCCGAATGGTCTCTCTTGAAGATTAAAGCCCCTATTGTAAGGCTAAAGGCCCAAGGGGCCGCCTGCAGGTCACATTAGGGACCCCGCCCGCAGGGCCGTGATCTCAAATGTCAGTTAGAAAATTGTTTGCATCTATTATGGACTCTTGAGACGGAGCATTCCCTTGTTTCGACCAGAGATCACCAACACGGTACCGTCGGCTCCGTGTCGGTCTGGACTCTGAAAACCCATTTTTCCAAGCAGGGACACGGCCGGGCCCCAATTTACCTTGATCGGGGCCCCTGCAACAATGCGGGGCTCCTGTATCGTTCAGAGGCCCACACTGCCTACCGCGGTATTCTGCGTCAACAAGGGCCCCCAGTCGGTTGAGGGGGCGGGGTGCTTTGCTGAGCGGGGACGGGGACAGGCCCCGAATGGCAGAGGGCCCCTTGCGTTGATCGGGACCCTTTGACAGTGGGATTAAACATGAAAGCTTATGATGTCTTTGCGTTGAGACAGTGGAAGGTTCCTGTGCCAGTCAGGGCACACAGTATCAAACGGCGGGCCCTCCAACCCAAGTCCAGCATAAGCTCGTGAAGCCGAACAGGAGTCCATGTGTCAATTATTGGGCCACCTGCGCCCATCAGGGATGTTGTTGCGTCAATGAAAATTTGTCCGTCGATCCGGGGTCAACTGCGCGGGTGAGAAGACCTTCCGCGTTAGGAAGGGAGCCAATGTGATATGATTTATCCATCTAAGCCTCCATCTCTGGAACGGTCAGGGGATCCCGCCCCTCGTCACCAGAATGGCAACCGGAAGACAACCCGCGGTGGGGCGGAATGATCCTTCAGCCCTTGACCGGGTACTAAAATGTGCCGCCCCCCTCCCCCCCCCACACACACGCTGTTCTTCTCAGTATGGCCCCTTTCCTGAAAAGAAATAAGGTGTCTCTTAGATGTTAAAAGACTGAATCGAAATTAGTTCAAAAACGAGCGAGTCCATTCAATGTTTGCCTGAAAACGTTTGCAGAATCGACATGTCAAACAAATTGTCGAAAGGTTTGAGCCTGCGCCCCCGCAATCTCAGAAGCAACCCATAACCTGGGTTGCAGTTTCTCTTAAACTGAACAGCGTTGACCACTGCGAGTAGCACCAGGCGGCCGCGCGAGAGCGACCGTCGTGGAATAATGCTTCCGATATCTAAAACCTAAGTTGCACCGTTGAAAGGTTAGGCTGGGCGCATCTTGTTACAACTTAAGGGTTATCCTCTGTACAAACGAACAGCTTCAGCAGCATGCAAAATAGAGATTCTACTATCAGGCACTTCTCCAGTTCTACCACCAGATTCTAATGCCACTTCGCGGTGCTGTAAGGCCAATTTGTTCAATTCATTTAAGAGTAGCACAAATAAAATATGCGCCCGGACTACCGTCTTAATGTGCGGCTTGATGTCCAAAAACGTTTAAAAGCAGTTCTTTCAAATGTTTCTTATTTTCATACACATGTTAGCCACGACTTAGTATCAGCCGTGCGGTCGACTCTGCGCGGCCAACGGAGACTGCGACGCGTGTCATCGAGGTTTTCGTTGCTGAGATTTGTGAGCACGCATGCTTAAAACTACGCTGCATGGCTTATATCACTTATCAATGTTGGCTAAATGTTGAACATTTCCACAAACGTGGCTTTGCCAGGGTCATGCCACTTGTTGACCTATTTCGATGTGCACTGGCAGGGTCTTTAATATCTCCGTACAGCACAGATAAAGGTTCTGACAAATATTCTGAGTTTTATCGGCTTAGAGAGCCCACCAGACTATTTCAAAATGAAGGGCGCCGTGATTCATTTCACTCAGTCATTCAACGCATGATTTCTTCGGTTGATGGTTTAAATAAATGAGATAAAATTGATCTCGCGGTAGCTTCTGGCTTTCATTCCCGTTAAAGGTGAACAGAAAATATCCAAGAAAGATATTCCCTTGTTCGCGAATGGTCCATATCCGGCGGTTTTTTTATGGGGGGCTTTTGCTACCAGGGAACCGTCTGTCAACTTTGTGCCCGTCCCTTGCTGAGGAGGGGCGCAAGGCTCTGACGGCGCGCCTGATCATGCGCGCTTTCTCCTTGAGTGAACAAGTAAAGAAAGGGCCAGCAGTAGAGTGGTTTGGGTTGAAAAGTTCCGCTCACGTTCAGGAGACGAGGTAGGATTTCCGTCACGGAAAGTTCAGCTTCCGCACGGCTGCGGCGTGTGTTGCAAGGGTGTAGCTTTACATTTATTGAGGAGGGCTTCAGCCCCGCAACTTGGGTTTCATCCCCCAGCTTTGGGAAGGACCTGGGCAAAATCTGGAGAAAATCCTGCTTGTTGGCGTATTTTGAGGGTAAGTTGGGTCATTTTGCTCTGTTTGCCCCCCCCCCCAATCATTTTGCGTTTAAAGAGAATGTTCTACGTTTGAATAGGGTTTTGAATGAAAAAGGCCTTCTTGAAGATTATTCGGTGCAGTTCATAGCCCTGCTCTTCTGAAGACCTACACTCCTCTAGTTTCTTAGTTTCACGCCCGCGAAGATGTGCAGATTTTTCCGGGGAGATAATCCCAAGGTCCTCTAGGTAACCATGGCGCTATAATAACGTCATTCAAATCCTGCTATTTCATTAGCCATGCGACGATCGAGGTCAAGAAAAGCACCATTCTCAGGCCGTGCGCATTTTGCGTTCGTATCCACGTTTTCCAAACAATGACGAATTGGGATGCATATTTGCTAAGCAGAGAAACTATGTTGTCTAGAACTGTGCTTTTCAACTTAAAAGTGCACCAATTTTCATCAATGAGCTTATTTCATCATGTATCATGACTGCTTCAATGCCTTCAAACGTGGAACATTCTTTTTAATCACATTAACTTTCCTAAAACAGTGAGTTTTCTAATGCGTAATGGGATAAGCTCTTTTTCTGTATGTAGAAGGTCTGCCTCGTCATCCATTGGGCTATGTTATTATTACTGCTTGGAAATGTTTTCCCCAAGACCTCCAATTTGCTGCACATATTGAATACCGAAGCTGTTCTCAGTGTCTTGGGCTGGAGCGCTAGCTGGAAGGTATGACGTTTGTACGTCTAGCATTAACCAGGAAACGGGGGGAGTGTTTTGAATTATTTTATGTGTCCTCCAGGCAAGCAGATGACATAGCAAGAAAGAGCACCGTGTCGTCTGCAAGTTGTAATATTCTTCCTTTAGTGTTCTCAGCTATCTGAAAGCCTGTCAAGATATTTGATAACATTATTTAGTTTGCAAGCACTTTAACTGCAAGGGTG